TTGCATTTAACATGTAATATGATGCTTCCTCTGGTTTGTTTTTTAACCGTTAGTGACATCTAGGAACGCACCAGTAGGCAAATAAATAAGTATACTTTGTTCTTCCTCGTATAAGTCATTGAATACAATTAAAATAGCCTGAAGTAACTCAGTAGATTTACATTTGTTGATTTGAGGTTCTGATTGGTTTGGCGTAGGCCCAGGCCCAGTTTTGACTCCATTCTCGTTTGGGCCTGGACCAAGGCGTTTGATGGACCAGTTGAAATCGTGCAGACCTGAGTGTAATTTCCCCTCGTTGGGCTTATCTTAGAGCCCAATGGCTGGACTGTGGTGCATAATTACCACTTAGTCCAATAATGAATTAAGTAGGACTTTTTCCTCCATTACTAGAGACAAGTAAAAATAGAGAACCATAGTTGTTTTTAGGTTTGCCTTTAAATAATAAATGAGATGAGCCTCGCCAAGCAAAAATACACAAATTACACGGCCCTCAATAAATATTATATTAATTTTTAGACTTCGGGATGGGCCGTTTAGCGAATTTCACGGCCTTCCCCAAATAATAACGCGTTAGTCTCTTTAGGCGCGTATTTAATTAATATTACTTTCCTAAATTCGGGTGCACATTTATGTGACCCAAATCCAAATCTCAACGAAGTCGAAATGTGTTAACAATCACGGGTGCACTGGTGCGACGTGGTTCGAGACGCATTTTCACGACGTTGCAATTCTTATTAAACATAAAAATAAAAGCGGTTTACTAATAAAAGCATAAACTAGAACATGTTTTGAAATTAGATAATATCAAATACAACAGTTGAGCGACCGTGCTAGAACCACGGAACCCGGGAATGCCTAACACCTTCTCCCGGGTTAACAGAATTCCTTACTCGGATTTCTGGTTCGCGGACTGTTAACAGAGTCATGATCTCCTCGGATCGGGATTCAACCGGTGACTTGGGACACCATTAATCTCCCAAGTGGCGACTCTGAATATTAATAATAAATCCCGTTCCGATTGTCCTTTAATTGGAAAAACTCCTTTACACCCTGGCTGACAATATTCTATAAAATTTATTTTCGAATTCACATAGAAAAACAGTCAATTTGACTCTCGTATTCTAAAAAATTCACATAAACTAAAATGGGAGTATGTAGCGTGTACTCTCGTCTTAATTATTACTATACTTAATTAAGGTTAAATCGAATTAATTTCAAGCTATTCTCAATTGTTTTTCTTTGCCGTTGTACAAGTTACACAAGTATCTAACTAAAATTCATACAACCACCAAACTGCAGCAACAACACCAATTTTCAGAGATCTTTCTGCAAACCCAATGCAATAATTTCCATTTAACAACTATCACATACAAATGGCTTACTAGCAGCTGAATTAAAGGCTCTACGAGAAGGTTTAAGAACAGCAAAGGAGTGGAATCTCTTCCCTCTTGAGATTGAGACAGACTGCTCAGAGGTTATCCAGGAAATACAAGTCGGTAATAAATTATTTAACAAAACTGTTAATGATTGCAGGTCCTTAATGTACCAGCAGATGGTTACTCTCCAACACACTGTCAGGCAGGGGAATAGGATTGCCCATCAACTAGCAAAAGGGATCCTAGATAGGGACAATCAAGCTTTTGGAGTGGCAGGAGGAAGTAAAGCACAGAAGACCAGCAAAAAAGTTTTTGTTGAACCACTTTTTGATATAATAGATTTTGTGGAAAGTGATAGACTTGAATCCACTACCCATGAAAAACTTCTAAGTAATGAAGCTTGCAAATTGTTAGCAAGCTTAGGAAACCAATGCATCCTCCGAGATGCATGTTATGCTGACTATGTACTAGATGTTCCTTAGTTATTAACTAGTATACGTACCCGCGCGATGCGCAGATTGTAAAAAAAAAATATTAGCATGATAATATTGCTCTTAATTATTTGCTCATTTGAATTGTATTGAAAGTATGGTATGACAGTAGTAGCTATCTTGAAATGCGAGATAAATTGTAAAATTTTGTGGCTACAATATTTTAGCAGGAGGAGACCTTGTGAGATTCTCTTAATATGCCAATCACAATGTGCATCGCCATTTTAAGTGCTTAATAAACTTTTGTGGCGATAATCCAACTTTAGAATTTATAACCATACGAAGCACATGGACCTTTATAATCTTTGAGAACATGTGTTTTTCTTTCATCCATTGAACCAAAGATGATCCATCATCGGATATTTTACTTGCTTACACATTATTGAGTGCAGGTGTGAAGCATTTTCCACATCGTCGGATCTATGATTTGCTCCATGCTTGGAGTGTTTTCTGTGACATTGAAAAGAAAGATAGCAGCTGTGAGGATCTGTTACTCGAGATAGATCGCATACTAAGGCCTAGTTATTTTGTTATCTTCAACGACAAATAACATGTTATTGACTTTGTAAAGAAGTAATTATCGGCATTTCACTGGGAAGCAGTAGCTGATCCAACTTCAGATCCAGACCAAGAAGGAGATGACATTACAATGATAAAATTGCAAACATGTAAAAGAATCATGAATTGTCTCTTTAGATAAAGGTGCTTCAGAATCTGAAAAATTATATTTCAACCTCGGTAGTCTAAAGCATCGAAATCTGTAACTCTAGCAAATAATGGGATGCTAAAGATCAATTTCCAAAAGAGTTCAGAGCAGAGGTATCATTGTTCGTATAAAATGCATGTTTAAGCTTTGTTGATACTCTCCAGCTAGAAGCATATTGTAATTTTATGAAAGTTGTGCTCTGGATGTAGGTTCTTTTCTCAGAGATGGACACTGCTGCCTCTGTTCTTCCTATAGATTTGTCCTGTTTTGAGGAGAAGGATGGCCTACCAGTGGAGGCATTTGCCAAAATTCAGGAGATCTTTAACAGTGTAGATTGGGTAAGCCCGAAGGGCGCTGCTGCTCGTAATGTGCTCCAACAAATAACCACGTCAGGTTTGATCCAGCTTGTGTACTCTCAGCAACTTCCACAAAAATCAGTCTTCCATCAACAATCTTCCATCAACAATCTGCAACTGGCAGATCATTTCAATGACAGAACAGAAAAACGGGACCGTACTAAGCTAGAAAACCAGTTAACTAAAGTCAGACATAAATAATTCAAAAACTGTGCAGCCAGCTACAAAGCACCAACCATTTTACCCACAATTCTGATCCAATAAAAAACAAATAGAAGACAAAGGAGCGCAGAACTAAACTCACCGGAAAGCTCCACAAACAACGCATGAATTTGAGGAAGTATGAAATTTTTTAGATGTGTATCAATATAAATACCAGGAACCCCATATATGCATAACTATACTACTACTTAAGCCTATGCATCTAACAAATGTAATCTGAAACTTTTAGGCAGCTATCGACCAAAAAGAACATAAGATTGGTAAAACAGTAAGGTAGCAACAATTCAAAAACTAACTTGTAGCCAAGAATATCCTCCGAGCAGCCATTTATTTTTAGATGCAAGCAAGGAATTTATCTACGGTGCTCACACATTTGGCATGCAGAAGCATTTTTTCCCGCTACCTATCCTACTGCTGCTCCCAGCCATATGTTGACTAATGGCTACATAGTGACTATGCAAATGCAGCTAAATCTATTGTCATCAACCTCTTAGCTAAACCATACAGCAAATGGTTTAAGGTGGAAAGTGGAAGACAAATATTCTTAGTTCAGGGAAAGTTGGTTGAGAGTTGGAAATGTGATGTCCTGCACCAAGAGATTTCGAGCATGAGAAAAGATTATTGAAAAATGACTTTTGATTTATAACCATAAGCTGCGTCAGTTTCACTTTCTTTGGTCCTCGGTCATTCGCTAAGTCAGGAATTAAATCCCTACATACGCATCGTCCATAAGATTTGGCTATCTTGGAGTTTGGCCCTCATTGAGCCAAGTGAAACTACAAATATATAACAAAAGAAGCAAAGGAGGGAAGCAGACTAACTGGAAAATACACTAAATATTGGACAACACACCCCACACCTCGGAAAATACATACTAATATACACCACTTTGTTTTGATTGATTGATTATTTTCTTCTCAAAGAAATAACATATTTTTTTTTGTTTCTATGTAATTACGTAGATGGAGTTATGCTAAAACCAGTTTTAGAAATAAGTCAATACTCATTAACTCCAATGTCTTTCTTAGAATTTTTTACTCATACAAGTCATAAATGTGTCCCTTGATCATCAAATAACTTAATGGTCATCAGACCCTAGATGTTCTTGATTCCAGTGTTTGCCAGATTATCATACTCCTATCGTATCTTTAGGTTCTTTCGTATGAATGTATCTTGTGGTTCATGCATAGTTAGATTTTTACCTTTATTCTGATTCGCTAAGTCAGGAATTCTCGGTGTTCAAACTTGAAACAACAACAACAACAACAATAACCCAGTAACACCATTACCAAATAGCAATGAAATAAGCCTTGCTGTATGAAAATACAACTTCATCTGGAATAAAAGAAAAATAACAAAACATCAGACTATCCTAACTAAAGACACAGACGAAGCCAAAGGTCTATTTCATAAATCAATCCTTTTCTAATCCCAAATTGTGCAAACAGTAATATTTACTCCATTGATACACCAATTATAGAAATCAGAAAAAGATATTGTACATACCTGATAATTCCATCATGTCTAGATTCATCTCAAACCAAATTACGGAAAACTTCTTTATACACCACATTGCTAGCTTCATTCGTTATTTGGCCATCATCATCATAAACTAAAATCTTCAACCCTTTTCTACTCGTCACGCGTGAAAGAGCAACATACAGTTGTCCATGAGTAAATACTGGCTTCTTCAAAAATAATCCCACATGAGACAATGACTGGCCTTGACTTTTATTAATTGTCATGGCAAAAGATACAACAATTGAAAATTATCTTCGCTGGAACTTAAAAGGTATTCTTGCATGTCACGATCCGGATTTCCCACCCTCAGGAGTCGTGATGGCGCCTACTAATCAGAGCTAGACAAGCCAAGTATTAAAACATTGTCCGATAACNCAACTTCAAAGTATAGAGTGATTTGGAATTTCCAGAACAGTTTAATACTGTTTAGGAATTCGGGTGTATGTATGTGCTCCAAAGCTGAAAAAGAATGATCAGACATACAAACTGTATCAGAACTCAAATATGTCTTCTCAGGACTATGATTGAGTGAAACCATATATTCATTGATCGACTCAACCATATCAAGAGTCGGAGCAAGAATTGCTCTTTGCTGGAGGTAATCAATGTCATTGACATGGTTAAAGAAATATGGATATGTACTTTCAACAATTGCCGATATTGGATCATCACAATTATTTATGAGAAGATCATCGGGGATTTGGACTTTCTCAATGCCATCAATGGAACTCCTAATACTTCCATCACCGATTGCTAAAATCCATTCAGAAAAGTTTTTTAACTCATCCGAATCTGCATCTAACTGATCTCTTTGTAACCTCATATTCTTTGTTAGATTTAAGACTTCACAGTGGGCCCACAAATACGAAGAATTCAGAGTAGCGTTAACAATATCTTGCCTAGATCCTTTTGCAATGACAGGCAAAATTTGTCTGAAGTCGCCACCAAGAACAACTGTTTTACCTCCAAAAGGTTTATCAGCACTGGATGTGTCTTTAAATCTAAGAATATCTCTAAGAGTTTGATCAAGAGCTTCAAAACAATATTTATGCATCATTGGTGCCTCATCCCAAATAATCAACTTTGTCTTTATAATCAAATTTGCTAGAGGACTACCTTGCTTTATATTGCATGTTGAATCTTCAGTTAGATTAAGAGGGATTGCAAATCTCGAATGAGCTGTTCTACCACCTGGTAACAAAAGAGATGCAATTCCACTTGATGCAACAGTTAACACGATGTCTCCTCTAGATCGTATGCCAGAAGACAGAGTCTTCCAAATAAAAGTCTTTCCAGTTCCTCCATAACCATACAAAAAGAAGAATCCACCTTTGGCTTCTTTCACTGCCCTCATAATTTTGTCATAAACCGACTTTTGTTCAACTGTCAAATTCATTAATAATTGTTGATGTTCCTCTAACAGAGAACGACGATTATAACGCAATTCATCATGGATTAACCTATTGCCGTGGTCAACTTCTTCCTCATTGTAAAGAGGTCTTGGCATTGTTGGAAAATCATGAAAACTTCGTCCACAGCTTTTCAAAACTTTTTCCAACTTTTGTAAACAACGATTTTTCAATTCGTCATCTATTAGCTCTGCCTCTGAAAGAACAAAAAGAATTATAGAATTTAAATAACAATAATATAAAAAATATATTACATGATTACTACTTTGATGATAAGTCTGCAATACATGGTCTCAATGAAACATCTGAATGGTGTAAGCTACATATTCACTCATTTTTAAAAGCTAAAATCATGTCGTATTTAGCTGGCTATCAAGAATCTAATTAGACTGATATAAGATTGGCTATTAGAACATTTTCAGGAAGTTTATGCGCTCTCTATCATTTGTGAACTTTTTATTTTCGTGGCTTTACGATCATTTGGGACATAAACTTGTAATTTTGACTCGGTCGCAATTTCTCTCCTAGGTTTTACATACATGGTGTATCCTGGAGCTGTGCACTCTCGGTTTGAGCATTCTATTTTCTCGCCAGTGATGCTGTAAACAGACTTAGGACCTGTCAAGTAGGACTATATCCTAATGGCATAATTTACATTATCTTGTCCCTATATTTGATAAGATCATTTTGATGGACATGCCATGGCTGTAGGGACGGGAGCTTGGCATTGAATCTTTTGATGTACAGACCGTGAAACTTGCTGGAGCTAAGGTTCATTTTTCTCAACAGCATCTGGCCATTGTTCTTAATTGAGTTCATTTAGGATTACTACATGATGTGGGTCACGGGCCATTCAGTCACATGTTTGAGCGTGAATTTCTTCCTCGGGTTCGTGACGGCCTTAAGTGGTAATTGTTAATTAAAAATTATTCTCTCATTTTCATCAGTCAGAACTCAAAGATTTGATACAATGAACTTTATTCTACATTTATCATGATAACTACTTCAATATATAATTCTCTTCAATTTGTCAAAAAAGAGAACTCCTATAGTGCTCCCCTAAGGAGATATTTGCTCCGGTTGGGACTATAAGTATTTCCTAGAACGCTTATACTTGTTGTGCATCAATGCATGATTATGGTGTTTTATTCTTCTACCAATCTGTGCCCTCTCTTCCATCTTGAGTGAAAATACTCTGTCCTCTCATCCAAAAATTAGTCAATGACTGAAGGAGTCTGTTTGACATTGCCACAACAATCACTGTATTCATGGGTTATCCTTTTGCCACAACATACATTAATTTCATGGGTTATCAGTCTAATTAGCTTCTTGATAGCCAGCTAAATACGATATGATTTTAGCTTTTAAAAATGAGTGAATATGCAGCTTACACCATTAAGATGTTTCATTGAAACCATGTATTGCAGACTTATCATCAAAGTAGTAATTTCTATATATTGAAAATTACTTATTTTGAATCCTATTCTATAAACTTTGGAAGTTACCAACACATAATATTACTCAACATGCGTGTTTGACGTAAAAAAATTAAAAAACCTAAGATAGAGTAATTTAATTCACAAATAAGGTATATTTAATTCATCTTTTTAGTTAGGTTAGTTGCTTAGACTGTCACGACCCTAGTTCACCAACCGTGAGTATGTCATGACGGCACCTGGTCCCCATGACCAGGTAAGCCTAACATTTGCGAAAATATATTAATTGCGGAAAAATAGAGAAAATCAAATCAAATATCTAAAAGAAACTGTACCGAATGCCGCTTGGCAAGTACAACTCAATATCACAAGTCTAAAATAATTCCCAAAACCCGAAAACTCACGGGCAACACAGGCTACAGAAGTTTATAGTAAAGGTTCCAAACTCCAGAATTTCTAACAACCGAAAGAAGGAAAAACTAAGTACTAAAGATAGAATAAGAGGGAGACTCGTCGGTATGCGGACGCAGCAGATCTACCTCGAAGTCTCCGTAGTCCTCCTGCCTCACTGATAGGGCGCCTGAGTAGAGGTACTTGGATGATCTGCACATGAAAAACATGCGCAGGAAGGGCATGAGTACACCACAGCGGTACTTAGTAAGTGCCAAGCCTAACCTCGGTTGGGTAGTGACGAGGAAGGTCAGGGCCATACTGAGACAAAATATAGTAATAACAATAATTAACAGTATGATCATCTGACAGAAATAATAAATACAGCAATGATATAAGATAGAGTAAGCAAGGCAATAGCAAATACACAAGAACGGTACAACCACAGAATAAGTACAGCTCAACACCGATGGTAACAATGAGGATCTCCCAGGATACCGTCCTGTAGTCCTTTTCTCAACTGTCCAGTGGATCTCCCGGGATACCATCCCGTAGTCCATCATATGTGTATATCCGAAGGGTCTCCCGGGATACCGTCCCGTAGCCCAACTATCAATGTGCAGGGGGATCTATCGGGAATCTAACCCGCAGTCCCAAAGTAAAAGTGCGGGGGATCTACCGGGAATCGAACCCGTAGTCCCAAAGTAAACAAACAAGGGGGGGAGCTACCGGAATCCCACATCCGTAGTCCCAATGTAAATGCGCAATCACAACCAGAAGGTACACGGAAACGAAGTACAAAAGACAAGCAACAGGTAGTACTGGCCTAGCATGCTTCACGTAGTACAGTTAAGGCAACTTAAGCAATTAGGCAAGTTAAATCAACTAAACATGCTTTCCTAATCTAGCACAGGTTATAAATCGCAATAGAATAAAGAAAATATGAAAGAAACTCAATCGCAATATCTTAAGTAAAACCGGATTTTCAACAATTGGCTCAAGTACGCGCTCGTCACCTCGCGTGCAAGGCACTCAAAATACCAAATAACAATATCCTAAGGGGAAAGGTCCCCCACACAAAGTTAGACAAGCCACTTACCTCGAACCGGCTCAATATCAATAGAAACCACGCCTTTGCCACGAGTATCCGACTCCAAATGGCCCAAATCTATTCAATTCAATTACATATCGTAAATAATATTGCAAACAACTGATTCCACTATTAAATTTAAAGCTACGGCGTGAAATTAGGTAAAATGACCAAAATGCCCCTCCAGCCATCGTCTCGGAATCGAATAATTTTTACGTTTTCAGAACCCTCGTACTCTCACGAGTCTAACCATATAAAAATCTCCCAAATCGGAGGTCAAATGCCCACTCAAAACTCAATAGTTTAGGTAATGAAGTTTTACCCCAAATTAACCAACTTTTGATCCTAAATTCGAATTCCAATGATGTATTTAGCTATATAATGATGAAATATAATGAAAAGGGATCAAGGAAACGTTACCCAATGATTTTCTCTTCAAAACCCACTCAAAATCGCCTTCTCCCGAGCTCTCAATCGATTTTCAAACTTATGAAATTAAACCCTCGAAATTGATATTTCTGAACAGTCATTTCCGCTTCTGCGGACAAGGGACCGCTTCTGCGGTCCCGCTTAAGCGGAAAGCCAACCGCTTCTGCGGTTTTCATTAAAAGGGACAGGACCGCATCTGCGATAGCTGGGCCGCTTCTGCGGCTTCGCTTCTGCGGAAGTGGCACCGCTTCTGCGGCTCCTGAGGAAGGGGGCACAAGCCGCTTCTGCGACGTCCAAGGCCGCTTCTGCGGCTCCGCTTCTGCGGTTCCCAAGCCGCAGAAGCGAAAATACCAGAAAGAAAAATACCAGCTGCAGCAATTACTTAGAAATTTCTCCGTTAACCACCCGAAATCATCCCGAGGCCCCCGGAACCTCAACCAAAAGCACCAATACCACCTAATACCTTATTCGAACTTGTACCAATCCTTAAAACACCTAAAACAACACCGGAAGTCCGATTAAATCAAAGATTCAAGCCTAAGAACTTCAAATTCCAACAAAACACACTTTCGATCAAAAACCTAACCAAACCTCGCCCGAATGACCTGAAATTTTGCACACACATCCCAAATGACATGACGGAGCTACTGCAACTTCCGGAATTCCAATCCGACCCTCGGATCAAAAACTCACTATCGGACCGGAAACTTCAAAAATTCAAACTTCGGCATTTCAAGCCTAAATGAGCTACGAGCCTCCAAAATACATTCCGAACACGCTCCCAACCCCGAAATCACCTAACGGAGCTAACGGAACCATCGGATTTCCATTCCGAGGTCGTCTTCACACTGTTCCGATTACGGACCATTTTTCAACTCTTAAGCTCTCATTTAGGGACTAAGTGTCCCAAAACACTCCGAATCCCAACACCGAACGTCCCGGCAAACCAAAATAGCAGAAATGAACTTAGGGGAAGCAGTTAATGGGGGATCGGGGCGTAAATTCCAAAAACGACCGGCCGGGTCGTTACATCCTCCTACACTTAAACATTCGTTCGTCCTCGAACGAGCATAGAGAACATACCTGAAGTAGTGAAAAGATGAGGGTACTGGCTGCGCATATCCTGCTCGGTCTCCCAAGTCGCCTCCTCGGCCGGCTGACCCCGCCACCGAACCTTCACTGAAGCGATGTTCTTTGACCCCAACTTCCTGACCTGACTGTCCAAAATAGCCACTGGCTCCTCAACATAGGATAGATCCTTGTCCAACTGGACTGAACTGAAATCCAACACGTGCGACGGATCACCGTGATACCTCCGGAGCATCGAAACATGAAATACCGGATGAACTCCGGCCAAGCTGGGAGGTAAGGCAAGCTCATAAGCAACCTCCCCAACTCGCCTCAAGATCTCAAAAGGGCCAATAAACCTCGGACTCAGCTTCCCTTTCTTTCCAAACCTCATGACGCCCTTCATAGGCGAGACCCGAAGCAGAACCCGCTCACCAACCATATATGAAACATCACGAACCTTCCTGTCCGCGTAACTCTTCTGTCTAGACTGGGCTGTACGGAGTCTGTCCTGAATCACCTTGACCTTCTCCAATGCATCCTGAACCATCTCTGTACCCAATAGCCTGGCCTCACCCGGCTCAAACCAACCCACCGGAGATCTACACCTCCTGCCATATAAAGCCTCATACGGCGCCATCTGAATGCTGGACTGATAACTGTTGTTATAAGCAAACTCCGCCAATGGCAAGAAATGATCCCAAGACCCTCCAAACTCAATCACGCACGCACGGAGCATGTCCTCAAGAATCTGAATAGTGCGCTCGGACTGTCCGTCCGTCTGGGGGTGAAATGCTGTGCTCAACTCCACCCGAGTGCCTAACTCCTGCTGCACAGCTCTCCAGAACCGCGATGTAAACTGAGTACCTCTGTCTGAAATGATAGAAACTGGAATACCATGCAAACGGACGATCTCCCTGATATAAATCTCCGCCAACCGCTCCGATGAATAAGTGGTACACACAGGAATGAAATGAGCGGACTTGGTCAGCCGGTCCACAATAACCCAAATGGAATCAAACTTCTTCAAGGTCCGTGGAAGTCCAGATACAAAATCCATGGTGATGCGCTCCCATTTCCACTCCGGAATCTCTATCTGCTGGAGCAACCCACCCGGGCGCTGGTGCT